TTTTTTAAGAGACAGAGTCTCACTTTATCATCCAGGCCATGTGGGTAGAGTGCTGTGGCATCACAGCTCACAGCAACCTCCAGCTCCTGGGCTTAGGTGATTCTCTTGCCTCAGCCTCCCAAGTAGCTGGGACTACAGGTGCCTGCCACAATGCCCGGCTATTGTTTTGTTGCAGTTTGGCCAGGGCCAAGTTTGAACCCACCACCCTGAGATTTTGCTTCTCAGGTGGGTATATGGGGCTGGCGCCGTATTCACTGAGCCACAGGGGCCCACCCTATGGTCTGAATGTTTATATTCCATGTCCTAAATGCATATGTTGAAATCTTAATCTCCAAGGCGATGATATTGGGAGGGGAGAATTTAGGAGGTGAATTGGACATGAAGGTAGAGTGGTTATCAATGGAACTAGTGCCAGTATAAAAGAAGGCCCAGAGAGGTCCTTCACCTTTTTGCCATCTGTGAGGAAGTGTGCCCTCACCAGACACCAAATAGGCTGTTGCCTTGATCTTGAACTTCTTGGCCTCCAGAACTGTAAGCAATAAATATCTGTTGCTTATGGTATTTGTTATAGCTTCCTGAACAAAGACAACTTGGCACATAGTAGGTGCTCTGTTAGTGTTTGTCAAATGAATGAGGGGAGAAGAAAAGCAGATGGGGCAGGAGCAGGGGCAGTAGCCAGACCAACTGGCACGGGGCACTTGAATTTCATCTGCCAGACATAGCAGCCGCCCCCACTTTCCTGGTCCCTGGAGGACTCTAGGTACCACATGGCCTAGCTGAAGCCCTCAGACATACAACTGGAGGGGGATACTGATACTATTGCTCCATGCCCCTTCCTACCTCCCTGCTCTCTTCTTAGGCAGTTGGGACTCAGCATAACCTTATAATCAGCCTCTCTGTGCTCATCCATGCAGCTAGGTGTTTGGCTTGGTAGTTCCTAGTACCTGTCAGCATGCCCCTTCATTCTCAGGACCCCAGGCTTTCCTCCCGCTATTCCCTGTGCCCTCTGAACCCTGGCTGTGATGAGAAGCAGGCCAGCCGCCTGGGACACACAGGCATGTAAGGCCCCTCATTATGTGTTTGTGTGCCTTAGTAGCTTGAGGGGCTGTCTGCATTTGACAGATGAAGAAACGAGAGCATAGAGAGGTTAACTTTGCTGAGGCCACATAATCAAGACATGCTGAGCCAGGATTTTAGCCCAAGTGGCTGGTCCCATGGCTTCACACTGCCTCTCCACAATTGCCCTCAGATGCATCGCAACAGTACACCCACACCCAACTTCACAGATATTTAAGCCCCAAGTAAAGTCCTCTATATTCACCACCCAGGGGAGGAAGGCAGGTGGCCAAACTTCTGTTACAAACAAGTCTTTATTAAAGATGAGATAAATTAAAGATGAAGAGGGAGCCGGAAAGGGGGACAGCGTTTCCTCTGTCCGCTGCCTTTGGCTGCTCAGGTTGAAGGAGCCCCTCTGCTCAACCCATGCCTCCAATAATGGAACATTGGCATGAGGCTGAGGCATGGGGGGCAATGTGAAAAAGGGGAATGTGTTCCAAGAAAAAAATCTTTTCCCAAGGCCTAATAAATAGAAGGGTTTGGGGTGACCTGGGCACCAGAGAGGGGAGACACAGCACCCTGAACCCCAAAACTGCTAAACTGGGGCAAGCCCTGTGTAAGTAGAGAATTTAGAGGGACTAGGTGAAAGGTTGCACACAGGGGAGGGGTTAAGAAGTGAAGGGGTACCTCAAGGACCCTGCTATGGGGGAGCCTGCCCCCACCCTCCAGAGGGACTCCCTGATTCCAAGAGAGGACTGGATGGTAAAGAATCTCCTTCCTCTCCTTTTCACGTGCCTAGACACGGGCGGTCCCCCATTGACTGGAATCATACCCACCCACTCTAGAAACCGTGGAAACCAAGGGCTCCTATTGGCTGCTCAGACGCTGAACACTAGCTAGAATTGCCGTCTTACCCAGGGATTCTAAGAAGTTAGGGACAGGCTCCCATTGGCTGGAACAAACTCCTTTTGGTTAGAATTCTGAGAGCTAGGGACCCTCATTGGCTGGGCAATGGCCAATGTGATCAGGCTTTGGCCCTCAAAAGGGCAATCTTAGGGGCAAGGGCCCACCCAGCATCTTTGCCCATTGGGATATCCTAGATGGCAAGAGGGGCAGGGGATCCCCCAAGTGTCCTTCCAGCCATCTTCTGATATCTGAGCCTGGCTGGTTTGGATGCAGGGGACTTTGGCACGCACATGGCACACGCACACACATGCGTGGCAGGGAAGATGTGGGGACTAGGTAGATTCTGGATGGGTAGTTGGGCCTCACAGCAGGTGGTCACGGCTGGCAAACAGGTAAGGGCTAAAGTTGTCCCGGTGGAAGGGGGAAGGATAGAGTCCACTCAGGGTGTACAGGTCCCGCAGCAGGGGTGTAGGCAGCAGCAGCTTCCGGCCACGTCCACCACCCCCACATGGTCCCCCAGGTCCAGGGGAAGAAGGCGAGGGGCCCTGGCTGGGGGTCGGTGCTGGCAGGGGCAGGGGCAGTGGCAGGGGTGTCGGCTCAGACCTCAGTCGAGGGCGGGGCACACGGGGTGACGAACACATGGCTGGGGCTCTGGAGGACACGCAGCTGGGGATCAGGTGGCCACGGCGGGTGCAGTTCTGCGGCTCTAGGAGTCAGAGATCAGGGGATCAGAAATTTGGGGAAGGGCTATGAAAGCACAGGAAAGACCTCTGTGGCAGTGGCTGCCCACCTGGAAGTTTCCCCACTTATCCCCCCACTCCTCCAAGACTCACTGGATGGGGTGAGCCGTGCCGGTGTCGAATGCGGCCTGCAGGCCTCGGGTTCCTGAGACAAAAAGGTAGAAGGAAGAGGCTAGCGGCCCCCTGGGCCCCACCGGCCACAGCCACAAGAAGTTCATCAGGCAGAGAGCCCCATGGAAAAGACAACCATCAGGATTAGCAGTGTCCCCTCAGGAGGGAGAGAGGGATGTACACTTTCTTTGGTGCTATTCTCCTAAGATGTACATCCACAGGGATGGGTGATTCCCTCCACCTTGCTGAGATCCCCCCCCCACTGTCTTCCCTGACTTCCTGCTACCTTGAACCCCCTCCACCCACCACCCTCTCCAGCCGGGAGCAGCCCCCGGCCCCCCTTACCTGGGCCACACTTAACTTTTCGAGGGGGCTGTCCATAGTGGGGGCTTGACCCAGGTCTTCCCAGGGGGAGAGCCTCCGACCAGAGGGTGGTCGGCTCTGGAATTTGTGCACAACACAGGTGACCTGAGACAGAGGGAGAAGGGAGTGTTAAGGCCCAGGGTCAGTAACATAGGAGTTATGTAAATACGTGTATTATTCTCCAGGTTTGATGCAAGCATTGTTCTTTCTACTTTACTAAGAGGTAGGTACTATTATTTTTTATCCTACAGGGCCCAGACTATGGTGAGGTGAGCAGGGCCAAAGCTGTGTAGCAGCAGGATTCTATCCTGTAGTTTTATGTTTTATTTTATTTTATTTCCTTTCTTTTACTATTTTATTTTATTTGTAAAGATAAGGTCTCAGCTGGTTGCAGTGGCTCAGGTCTGTAATCCTAGCACTCTGGAAGGTGGAGGTGGGTGGATTGCCTGCACTCACTGGTTCGAGACCAGCTTGAGCAAGAGGGAGACCTCATCTCTAAAAATAGCTGGGCATTGTGGCAGGTACCTGTAGTCCCAGCTACTTGGGAGGCTTAGGCAAGAGAATCACTGGAGCTCAAGAGTTTGAGGTTGCTGTGAGCTGTGATGTCACAGCACTCTTCCAAGGGTGACAAAGTAAGACTCTGTCTTAAAAAATACATAAATAAATAAAGATAGGGTCTCACTGTTGCCCAGGCTGCAGTACAATGTGGGAATCATAGCTCACTATAGCCTTGAATTCCTGGGTTCAAGCCAAGTGATCCTTCTACCTTAGCCTTCTGGAATACAGGCATGTGCCACACTGCCTGGCTAATTTAAAAAAATTTTTGTACAGATGGGGTCTTGCTATGTTACCCAGGCTGGCCTTAAACTCCTGACCTCAAATGATCCTCACCATGGCTAACCCTGAGCCCAACCCTCCCAAAGTCCTGGGAATACAGGCATAAGCCACTGCACCTGGCCTGGCCCGAGTACTTTATTATTGTTTTATATTAATTTTTATTTGTAAAATGTTTCACTAAAATATTATTTATCTTGGCTTGGTGCCCATAGCACAGGGTTATGGTGCCAGCCACATACACCAAGAGTTGTGGATTTGAACCCAGGCCAGACCAGCTAAACAACGACAACTGCAATGAAAACAAAAACCAGCATTTTGGCAGGTGCCTGTAGTCCGAGCTATTTGGGAGGTTGAGGCAAGAGAATTGCTTAAGACCAAGAGTTTGGGCTCGGCGCCTGTGGCTCAAGCGGCTAAGGCGCCAGCCACATACACCTAAGGTGGCGGGTTCGAATCCCCAGCCCGG